TAGTGTGGCTACGAGGGAGGCTGCCTGGGGAGTGTTGCCACTGTTTGAACTTAACTGGCTCCAAGAGAGTGGGGGGGCTTTTTATTAGCTTGCCCAGATACAGGGTGGAAGGTAACAAGGGGGCAGAAGTGGGGCTCCAGACCTGCTAGTGACTAAATATCAAAAATGGATTTAGATTCTTTATTAGAATCTTTTAAAATTTTTCAGCTCTTCTAAAGAATTTCAGGCCTTTTAGAAAGGATGCAAGAAGTTCCCCTGCTTCTTACTAGACCACCCTACACTGACTCCACTCATTTCTGCTGCCCTCTAGAATTTAGTTCACACTAATCTGATCAAATGAACTTTCTTCAACAATAGTCCTTTCTTTGTTACATCTATTCTTTAGTCCTCCCTTATATTTCCTCTCCATCTTCTCCCTCCTGTCCTTCCTCCCCATCCTAACAGTCCACGGCAACATCCACCTCACTCCCTTCTTTGTGCCAATGCCGCTAAATGTTTTTCTGTTTCCATAACAACTCCTTTTCTTAAGCATTTATGGCAGACTGTAAAAGATGCTTGGGTAGGAACTTGATTTACTTCTTTGATTTATGTAATTGTTAAATGCAGAAAATCTTAATTTCAAATCTAAAGTCTAAAATGGCTATTTAATGTCTTTAAAGATGAACATTGAGTAGATTTTTGCTAAAAATGGAAGTCTTTTTTTTTTTTTTTTGATACCAGGGATCAAACTCAGGACCCTGCGTTTGTGAGGCAGGCAACAGAACCACTGAGCTAAATCCCCGGCCCTGAAAGTCTTTATTGTTAAAATAAATCCAAGTTATGAAAGGTATTTGTCCATCATGACTTTTTGGTATTTCAAGAAAATCAAGTAGGTCTTCTTTTTCAAAAGAATGTTAGGTTTTCAATTTGTAACTATCCAGTATTTTTGTGAGAGCATTTCCACCAATGTGTGTTTGAGAAGACTGTAGGATTCTGTGATAATTCAGTGGTACAAAGTGCTGCATATTGATTTGGCCCAACTTTTGATCTAAAGCTGTGGGGGTTTTTTTGTTTTTTGGTTTTTTTCGTATCAAGGATCGAACTCAGGACCTTGTGTTTGCGAGGCAGGCAGCGGAACCACTGAGCTAAATCCCCAGCTCCCAAAAGCTGTGTTTAATAGAATGCTGTGTCCCTGTTGTTCCTGAGCTTTGTCCAGGGGCAGTTACTCAGCTGTGTGCCCGCACTGCAGTGTCATCTCTCTGTGGTGTAGGAAACTTGCCATTGACCACAGAATTGCAGCATATTGCCAGCCTAGCCTCTACGTCATAGCTCCTTCTTCCTGATCCTTTTGAATCTTGACTCTTCTAGAACATGGACGGTTAGTGCTTAGTTTTGCTGCAGCACCACAGAGAGCAGCTGTCACTTGCTCCAGCCTGTTCATCTATAAATATTTCATGGGCCCCTTTGTTCCTCATTCTGTCTTTGGCAAAGCCCACAGTGGAAACAAACAGGACCAGCACTAGCAGGCATCTGGAATCATCATTTATTTTTAAATTTTACCTGTCCAGCCAAGCAGGTCACACATGCTGCTTGTGATAGCAGAATGTAAGGTCTCTAATGTATCTAACACACTTCCCAGTTTTTCAGCCCAGTGCTAATCTAGGTATTGCTATAAAGGATTTTGAAAGTGTAACTAAGGTCCCAAAGCAATTGATTGTCTGCTTGAGGCTGGCCTAGTCCCTGAGCCTGGTAAGCCTGTCTATAGCAGTCAGAAGCAGACATGTAGAGAGACTTGAAGTGCAAGTACTTGATGCCAGGGAATTTCTTTATGCTGGATTTGGAAATGGAGGGGCCTTGTGGCAGAAGACCAAGAGCAACCTGAATTTTTCCAACAATTTGAATGAACTTAGAAGAGTATTTTGGGTTTCATGTGAGACCACATCCTACCAACAGCTTGAGGCAGGAACTTTGTGAGACCCTGAGCAAATAAATCAGCCCTTCTTATGGAATTGAAAGATGATAAATGGGTATTGCTTTAAGCCACTGTTTGTGCTAATTTGTTACATAGCATAAAAAATTAATGCACTGTGTACTTTCCATGGTCCAGAACTGCTTGTGTCACTGGGCCAGGGTGGGGGGTCATGACTCCTTCAGCGGCCGTCTGCTTCCTGTGTGCTGAGCTGCCTAGAGTTAGAGGAAGCCTGCACCCTGTGAGCATGTCCCTAGGATAGCCTGCAACGCCTTTCCTAATGCTATCTCTCTGTCCTCCTTGCTCCAGACTTCTTTGAATAACATAGGTATGTAACCCTTCTCTGAGCAAGGGCTCACTTCTGCAGGTTGTGGCCCAGGGCCTTTTCTCTGAGTCCTAGAAGAAAGGGCAAGGGCAGCTTCTGCAGTGCTGCAAAGCAGGCATTCTCATCCACCCCTGCTTCTGGGCTCCTAGAACCTAGAGTCCTTGCTGTAGCAGGCCGTCCATCTGCAGCCCTGTCTTTCAGAAAGATCTCTCAGAGCACCTGTCTATCCTATGTCCTTTCTTCTTTATCTTCACAGAGACAGACTACACTAAAGTCGCACAAGGAACATGAAGAACAAATTCATAGTGTAGTGACTGACAGATTGCCAGTTAGCCTGCAGTCTGTTTGAATTGTAAAAGAGCTATGGAGGATTGAACTTAGGGCCTTTGCGATGAGCTACATCCGTAGTCTATTTTATTTTAGATAGGGTCTCACTAAGTTGCCCACGTGGGACTCAAACTTGTCAATCTTCCTTCCTCATCCTCCCAAAGGGCTGGGATTACAGGTGTGTGCCACTGTAACTGGCTAAAGAAGTTGTTTTGTTTTGTTTTTTGGCCCAGGGATTTAGCTCAGTAGTTCTGGCGCCTGCTTTGCAAGCGCAAGGTCCTGAGTTCGATCCCCAGCACAAAAAAAAAAAAAAAAAAGAAGTTTTTTTTTTTAAGAAAGTACCTAGTGGGCCAGAGATGTAGCTCAGTGGCACAGCTCCTGCCTGGCAAGTGCAAGGAAAAAAAGAAAAGAAAAGAAAGTACCTAGCTGGTGAACTTTCATGACATAAGGAGGATGTTTTTATTTCTGTACACTGCTGCTCTACTTATACACCTATACAAAGCTTTTGGAAGAAAACTTTTATCTTCTATATTGTACTCTGTTTATGCAGCTTCTCCCGGCAGCATCATGGCCATAGTCCAAGGTCCATCTGGGTCTGTACCTGCTTCCCTGTCTTATGCCCTATGTCCCCATCTGGGATCAGTGATCCAGTTGATTAAGGGATGTAGTCTCTGCTAGAAGTCAGAGGATCTCAGCCGACTGATGCTTCATAGTGTGAAGAGTTTGGAGGGCATTTGGCTTTCTGCTCCCTAACCCCATTTGTGTTTCTATAGGTGTTACCTCTCTGTCATTGTCTCAGGACCCAAGCCCTGCTTCCACTCCTCCCCATGTGTGGCTAGATTCTTAAACCATAGGATTATTGTGGACCTCATAATGGCTGGTCTGTAAGCCTGAGTATCCACCCAAGTTTTTGCTTCTCTGTGTAAAATAGAGAAACACTTTGTGGGATCCCACCTCTCAGGGTAGTCTCTGGGCACAGCCTTCTATGACAGCTGATACAGTATGGTCATCAGCTCTCAGCTGGGAAACTTGAGGGCAGCTTGTCTTCTGCACAGCTTGCCCACTCCTGCAAAGTGGTGGCAGCTGCAGCTTTCAGAAAACATGACTTGGTTTAGGCTTCAGAGGCATCAGAACACAGCCGACCTCAAGACAGCAAGACTTCATGTCGACATTATAACAAAACTTTCAAGTGACATGTAAAATAAAGCAGTGCCAACTGTTATCAAAACATAAGAAAAGTGTGTTAAATGTTTGCAGAAGACAGTGAAAGATCTTATTTATACAATCTTTGGGCCCTGTGCATGTGTTTGGGGCAATATGAAAAGAAAATTGTTTCTCCATTCTAGAAAAGACAACTAGTGAGAGGGAGGGGAGAAAGAGGAAGAGTGGAGAAAGTGCGCAAGCATGCACATGCACTCTTAAACATCCCTGGTGCCCTGCTGAGTAATACGGGCAGGACACAGTGTGTATAGGATTTGTCTTTTGCCCTCAGAGTGCTGATAATCTTGTTGGGTAAAAGACTGGTATCAATGAAATGATTAGAGAGCACTAAAGAAAAATATAATTTACATACAGAATTCTCTGATGTTATAGAAGTTAGGAAACCTGTCCAATAAGATTAGCTACAGAAGTGCTAAGTAGACTTCATAATGAGATGATGCTTTTAAGGAAATCTGTAACATGGATGCTGAGGGGAACAGTAAAATGTTATCAGTGAACCATTAAGTGTGTGTTTAATATTGTTCCTTCAAGAGGATGTAGTTTAGTGCTGCTGGTTAGGTCATGGGCTAGACCTAGATGGCTTGATTCAAATCCAGGTTCCAATTGTGACTTTGGGCAAGTTAATTAACTTTTTTGTGCCTCAGTATCCCCATCTATACATTGAGGATAGTAAAAATCCCTAACTCACAAGGTCTCTTCCTGTGATTTTGTGACTCAGTTTCTGTTCTCACATTGGAGAGCGCAGTCAGTGGAGTTTGAGAAGATGTGGTGGACAGTGCATAGGTATGCAGGATGGTATCAGAGAGAAAAGGGGGTGGGCTTGTTCCCTGCCTGCTTCCTCAGTAGATGGTAACAGATGGTAACTGGTGCAGGGTAACAGATCATTTACAATCAGCAAACATTTATTGAGTAATAAAATATATTTTTATGTGTAATTTAACATAGTCAATATGATAAATCTTTTAATATATGCAAATATGAACTTCCAATGCCTTTGATGATTTTGCTGTTGCTCTATTGTGGTGATGGGGAGCAGACACAGGGCTTCATGGTAGGCAAGCACACTGCCACTGAGCTACATCCCCCGCCTTGTTTAATTGTTTTTAACAACTAATAATTATCTTAACAGCTAGAATTATCTTTGAAGTATTTGTGACAGTTTTCTTCTTGTTCTTACAGGCCAGTTGGAATGCCAAAAATGGAAAAAGTCTACTTACATAATCCTAGTTCTGAAGAAACTATTACTTTAGTATCAATATCTGCTACAACATCACATTTTCATGCATCATTTTTTCAAAATAGGGTAAGTACCTCTGCTAAAAATTGATTTCTTCAGAAATTCTGAAATTTTACCCCTTTTTTTGATACTGGAATTCAAGCTCAGGACCTTGTGCTTATGAGGCAGGCATAGTGCCACTGAGCTAAATACCCGGCCCCAAAATTTTACATTTTTATTGGTGAATAATTTTATTGCTATAATTAGAATCTACTTTGAATGTGTATACCTTTTCTAGATTTCAGTTTGCCCTATTTCCTAAGAATTATTACTTCTCTTAAATACACATTATTCTTCTCAACATGAAACACCTTAACAAATGTGCTAGGGATCTTAGCACATTTGAAAACAGCACAGCACCTGAAAAACAGCACAGCATTCCGATGTTCTAATTATAAGCAAACTCCTCAACATTGTATTAGTTTTCTGTTGCTGCATAATGAATCACCACAAACTTGGTGACTGAAGACAACATTGTCTTAGTAACACAGAGTCAGTGAGTTGTAAGTTGCTCCATCCCCAACCCAGCAGCCTGCCATCTGTCCTTTCCCCTCATGCTTCGTCTTTCTCTGCCTTCCACTTCTGCCACCTGCAGACCAAACTCTGCTTTTAAAGGCTCATGGTATTGTACCAGGACCCTCTGAATGGTCTCCCTTTCTGTGTTTTTTTGCTTGATTTTTGTAGCCCTGTTTATTGAACCCCAGGGTCTTGCATATGCTAGGCAAGTGCTCTACCTTGCTACATTCCCAGCCTATGGTCTCTCTTTTGATTAACTCAAAGCCAGCTGACTCCTAACCCTAATTACACCTGTAAAAATCTCTGTTACTGTGTAGTGTCTCATCAGAGTCACAGTCTCAGAAATTTAGCCAGGAAGTCATTGGGGCCATGTCAGGGTTCTCTGCCTACCAAAACCATCTTCTAAAATTTTACTCATAACTTTTGTAGGTAGTTGGTAACTTGTTATGAAAAAGGCAGAAATTTTTTCTGACCAAAAAAAAAAAATTGGATCTTAAGTAAATTTTGAAGTTGAAAGAATGCATTAACCCTTAATGTGTAAGTTTCCAAAATAATTAACAAAAAACCAGCAGGAAGCAAGTGAATTAAACCTGATTTCATCTTCTTGGGGTTTTTACTGAATCCTTTGAAGGAATGTGCCTAAAGAACACAGAACTTTTTAAAGCATACAACATACCAATTATTGTATTAATTTTATATCAATTATCTAGATTTTTACATTTTTCCTTTCTATTTTCCTTTACATTATTTTCTTCTTCCTTTACATTTTTCCTTTCCTATTTCATATTGATGTTAGGTAGCAACTTCTAAGGTAAAAAAAAGACATAATTTTGCCTTTTCTTCGTTTAAAAGTATTTTATGAAGGAAGGATTAATAAGTCAGTGTGTTATTTTTGGTAATAAAAATTTTAATTTTTTGAGGTACTCATGAAAAATCTTTTCTAAAATATTTCTTAAATTTCTCTTATGTTGTTCTTTTTTCCTAAAAGATATTTTTACAATTTTTATAAGTGTGCTGATGGTCTCAGTAGATATTCTAGTGCTGAAAGAGGCCTGTGTATGCAAATGAAAGCTGAGTCCCCTGGGAGTTTGCCCCAGTCCTGCAGGTATTTACTAGAGCCAAGGTCAAGGTCTCCCCAGTGACTTGTATCGCATTTCACTTCAGTGAGTGGCTTGTGTGACAGCCTAAATATAGAGATATGCTTCTGTATAAATGGGACTCCCCATCTTTCAGTCTCTGCCCGTTTCCAGACTATTGGGTTAGAGAGCAGGTAAAAATGGAGACAGTTCAAAATAGCTCACAACTGCACTACACATTTTATTTTTAACTTTTAACTCATTTTGCTAATTAAAGGGATATTTCATTGTTTCTGAACACCCTAAACTTCACCTGGGTTAAAAGCAAAAGTTTTCACTTCTTTTTTTTTTTTTTAACTGCTGTCGCAATACAGAGGGAACCAAGACTTGCAAACAGGGATTCTTGCAGGGCCTGTAGTCAGCCTCACTTGGCTCCAGCCTGTAGAGTGCAAGCCCAGGTGCACTTCTGAGTTCTCAAAGTCAGAATTTTTATATATATATCTCCAAAATTTTATACAATAAAAATTAATCCAGCTCTAGAAAGACAGTGTGGACTGAACAACAGGACCTAATGAGCACCAGTTTGACATTTCCAAACTAGGCTCTCCCAGGTACCCACTTCTACAGGTAAATGTTATGCAAAGAAAAGTTTTTCTAAAAATGTTTAAAAAGATAAGCTAAATTTGTATTTAATCAAACAAGTTAAAAGCAAGTATGTTTTCTGCTGTTTGAAGGTGGAATTAAACAATGAAAATGATTACATGTGTCAAAATCTACATTCAGATTAACTTCAGTTATCTTTAAAGGAGATGATGAAAATCTGTGCTGTCCTTTCTTACCTTTTTTCCTTCTTCATGCTCTCCATCTCTTTTCCCTGTAAGTAGAGGGGACAGAGCACGAATTTCAAGGGGGAAGAAATAACCTTATTTGCCCTCCACTTCAGTGTTAGCCCTGCAGTATGAGCCTCTGAGGGAAAGAAAGTGTCAAGAGAGGAATCCTCTCTGCATGCGCATCCACTAAATGCCTTCATCAGGATCCCTGGTCACGTCATAGCTCTGACAATAAAATGTTTCCTGTGACTCATGTTTTTTATTATTAACTGCTATCATCTGTACATTAACTGAACAGTAGGAAATACAGAAAAGAATAATTATTATTTAAAAGGGCAAGTTTTACAGTCATATTTTAATATGTACCTACAAATAATCTTGTTAAAGATTTTGACTTTAAGATTACCTGAAAATCAAGAACAATAGTAATAAGAGGAAATGTAGAAAACGTGGTTGTGTGACATTTTATTTCTTTGTATATAACCTCTCATTATTTGTTGGTTTATCCATAGTTATCTGTTCATTAAATATAATTAGTTAAATTGAAAGTTACATCATGTTGGTACTGCAATTTAGGCCTATGTATCTTTTGTGACTAGATTGTATATTGACCATAATGACCAGTGTATTTTTTTATCAGTGTATGTTTTCTATCATAGAATACAGATTTTTAATATTTTATAATAGTCAAGGTTTTTTTGTTGTTGTTTTTTTTAATTTATTTTTTGGTACGGGGGATTGAACTTGGGTCCTTACGCTTGCACGGCAGGTGGCAAAACCACTGAGCTAAATCCTTGGCCCCTGATAGTCATGTTTTGATTGCTTAAATTGTGGAAGTAGGATGTTTTATACACATGGTAAGACAAAAATTATTTTTTCTTAATTGACTAGAACTCGGATTAATTAAATTTTTGGAACTGAAGATTAGAAAAACTTTTTTCCTTCTATGACTAAATTTAAGATATTTTAATCAATTTTAGTTACTTTTAGAAGCCTAGACATTATTTATTCCATTTTAGTTGAACACTGATGTCCATGTATGTTATTGAGAGTTGAACCAAATGTGATACAGTCCAAGTATGGGATGTTGGGCAGATTTAAAAGAATGAAATAGATCTGTATCTGTTGATCTGGAATAACATATATGATGTGTTGATCTGTAAGGAAAGCACATTGTAGAGCAGAATATAATCTCACTTTTATTGAAAGCAAAAATCTGAGTATTTGGTTATATTAATAAGAGCCAGAGCAAGTTATTGATGGACGTACCAGGTTAACTGGGTAACCTGAGAAGGGTGAGAATGGAGGGGAATGGGGAGGGTATTAACTAGAATCATGGAAAGAATTAAGTCCGTGAACTGAGGTACCACTGTATTTTTCATCTTTGCACTGTATCAGTAAATAAAATGAGCACTTGCTACTTTTGCAACTTAAAACATATAAGGAAATATAAATTAGTCGGGGATTTAGCTCAGTGGTTCTGCCGCCTGCCTCATAAGCGCAAGGTCCCAAGTTCGATCTCCGGTACCAAAAACAGAAAACATAAATTAAAAAGCTTCTCCACATGTATAAAAATTAAAAATTAATTAGTTTAACAAATATTTATTGAGTACCTACTAAGTACTAGGCTCTTTGGGTTGATCCCTGAACAGTAGAGAACCTTTACTCACAGTATGTACCTCTGTGGGGTTTGGGTGACATCAGCAGAGGGAAGCCAAAGCATAATAAATAAATTGTCTAATATCTTAGAAGATTATAAAAGCCAAGAAAAATAAAAATATTAAGGTAAGAGGACTTGGGCTGGGAATTTAGCTCAGTGGTTTCGCCACCTGCTACACAAGCGCAAGGACCCAAGTTCGATATCCGGTACCAAAAAAAAAAAAAAAGATAAGAGGACTAGAATCAGGATAATCCACTTTTAAATGGGATGATTAGGGTAGCGTAGGTTTCCTCCAGAAGATGATGTTTGAACAAGGGATGAGGTAGGACTGTGTAGAAGAAAGCCAAACACATGGAAGAAAAACATTACAGAAGAGAAAGATCCGCAGGGAACAGGCTCTGGTCTGTGAGCAGGCCTGGTGTGCAAAGAAGCAGTGTGCCAGTCTAGAGTGAGCAAGAGGGGCAGGGAAGAGCCATTTGCGCTGTGGTAAGGACTTGGGTTTTCTCCTGATTGAAATGGAAAGACATCAGAGGGTTTTGAGTAGAGGAATGAAGTGGTAACTTATATTTTAAAAGGGTCCCTTTGTCAAAAGTAGAGGAGCAGTAGGAGAATAAAATGTAGGACTACTTTGGTTATCTATTTTATTTTGCGTGAACTTTGTCAGATTTGGTAGACTGTCAGAATGTATCCATTTCCTCTAGTTATTAAATTGATGAGTTTAGTGCTGTCTGTAATGTTCTTTTGGCACCTTTTTATGGGTAAAGGGTCTAGTATAATGGTGTTCATATTTTCATTTCTTATGTTTTTACCCTTTCTCCTTTTATTCATTCATTCTGTGTACAGGTTTTATCAGTTTTGTGGAACTTTTCGAAGCACCAGCATTGGTTTCATTGACTTTTTTGTTGTTGTTGTTGTTTTTGTTTTCTATTTTGTTATTTTTTTCCTCTTTTTATTAATCTTGGTTTTACTTACTTTGGATTTAATTTATTTTTCTAACTTCTTACAGCAGAGACCCTGAGTTATTTGTTCAAAATAAGTATTGTAATGCTACAAATTTCCTTCCAGGTATTGTTTTAACCATTGACCACAAATTCTGATACATTATATTTTCATTTCAAATCAATTCAAAATATTTTATAATTTCTCTTGTGACTACTTATATGACCAGTGGGTTATTTAGAAGTATGCTGTTTAATTCCAGGCTATTTGGAGAATCACCAGATCCCAGTCTCGAACTTCATGAGCACCCCCTATTGTTTTTTGTAATAAAATTTTATTTCACTGACTACAGTGACATTCTCATTCTGCACAAGATAATAGGAGTGAGTTCTGAGGCATTTTGTGCCTTGTGTGGATGGATGGCAGAGGTGGAGGGGTTGAGGCCATGGCTTGTTCTTTAGAATGATACAGGCTGCTGCTCAGTAGCACAGTAGTACATGTATGTGAAAAGCTCAGCTTTAGCCCAGCACCTGCTTGATTGTGTGATCCTAAACTGCCTGTAATTAGGTTCTTCATTGCAGCCTGATGATTGTTGCGTGAAGAGGGTCCAGGGGACTGTCTGTTGTGCAGGGCTTTGTAGTGGACAGAGATAAGTGACTGGACACATTTAGTATGACAACACCTTTTTTATTATTTTCCTTTGCATAATTGCCTAACTTAAAGCTTAAACCTTTAAAGAGAAAAAAATGCTAGCTTTTGGAAATGATTCTGAAATACTTATTTTATAGAAAACTTGAACTCTAATTTTGGTCAGCATGACCTGATTTTTTTGGTTACCGATTTAACTTTATTGCTTTTCTTTTTCAGAAAATTCTTCCAGGAGGAAATACATCATTTGATGTAGTTTTTCTTGCAAGAGTAGTAGGAAATGTAGAAAATACTTTATTTATTAACACATCTAATCATGGGGTATTTACTTACCAGGTAAGAATCAGATTTAAACTTTTACTTATTTTATAAATTACAGTTATCATCATCATCATCAACTTGTATTTTAAATGTAGAATCTTTGTTTGGATTATTAAAGAAAGTTAATGTTTACAGGACTTAGAGTAAACTAACCTTTTTGTATATCAGCCATTATTCTGTGTATGAATCAGGATTTGTATATATCAAGGTTATCAACACCATAAAGAAGAATAATTGCTTATATTTGGCACTATACTGTACATGTACTTCTGCCTACATTATAGATTCTGTTATCCTCATTTTTTTAGATAAGGAAGTTGAATTTTGGAAAGGTTAAATAATTGCCCAAATACTGCTACTAGTATTGTTCAGCAAGGACTCAAACTCATGTCTTTCTATCTACACCTGACTCTAATCTTAACCACTGTGCTGTGCTCCCCATGGAACGCAAGTGTTTGAATCCTCACTTAGTTAATACTTCACAGTCCTTATGCTTTTTTTGAACATTTCCTCTCCAGTGCCAAGAACACTTGATACGTTTTGACAGTAAGTATCAGAGTAAATATCTCACTTTAGTAGGACAAATTCAGTTTTTAAAGATTGTTTATCAGGCTTCAGTGAACTTTTGATGCTTGGTTTAGTAGTTTTAAAGTTCTGTATAGATGACAGGCATTTAACACATACTTGTCAAGTAAATGAAAAGAATACCCTAAAAATGAAGGTCATGGCCTTCGAAAGCATCCCCCAGCTGACCCAGGTGGTCACAGCCAGATTTGCCATCTGAAGGTCGTGATCAGGTTGTTCTCAAGGTGAGTCCCACTGGCCAGCTATCTTCTGTCTTTCCGTCTTCAGATCTATCTAGTCTTTCTTCAAGTCTTCCTCCTAAATATATCTCAAGTCTCACACACTCTCCCCAAAAAGACTTTGTTCAAAGATACCACTGCTCTCTTGTAAGTAATGTCATCTCACTGGATTATATGGCAGCTGTCTAGCTGCTTTCCACTCTTCCCCAGCCTCTTCCACAATCTGAGATTCACTCTAGCCAGAGGGATTTTTTGTTAAAATCTTTTTATTCGTCTCTATTCTGACTTTAGTACTAGAATATAACTTTCATAAGGTTAGGCACATTATCTGTCTTGTTCAGTATTAAGTTGTTCACTGCTGCACCCTTGTCCTAGCACATCATATATATTCCATAAATACTTGTCATTTGAATAACTGCCTCACCCTATTTAGTCAACCTAGGATCTTTGAATGTGGGAATAACCTGGGGCTAGGCTTGATATTTGAAGATTGCCTGAGCCATGGATCCATCTTCTGATACTTGGAGTAGGAAGATCTTTTGACTCCCTATTTTCTTTTTATGTGCTCCGCAATTTCATGAAGGACTACTGTCATTTCAATTTCTAGCATGTTCCAGAAATCATTCCAAATGTACATATATAGAGTAAGTTAAATATGTATCCAAATCAAGATTTTTAATAAGAGATTGTTAATGTTTTACATCTAAATTAGATTCACTGGTCTCTGTAGATCAGCAGAGTTATAAGTATAAAAATGGTAAGTATAAAAACAACTCAAATGGCATTTTTTTCTTCTTTGAATCAGGTATTTGGTGTTGGAGTTCCAAATCCATACCGATTGAGGCCATTCCTTGGGGCCAGAGTCCCTGTGAATAGCAGTTTCTCACCTATAATAAACATCCACAACCCTCACAGCGAGCCTTTGCAGGTGAGTTTATGAGGGTAATTTTGACTAAGTCTCCCTTTGGTGGGAATTAATGCTTAGCATGAAATTTCAGTTTGTGAAAGTTTCTAAGACTGTTTAAAATAATGGAGCTTTACAGATATGTCAGTGGGAGGTATTACTTTTAAAACACTTGTTGTAATCTGAATTTTGGAGTACAACACTCTGGATTTGAAATTTTTGGAACCATATTTAAGTGACCAATTTTAAGTGTTTTAATTTAGAGAGCTCTGCATTTAAGAGTTTTCAGCTGGGGCCAGGGATTTAGCTCAGTGGTTCCGCTGCCTGCTTTGCAAGCTCAAGGTCCCAAGTTTGATCCCTGGCACCAAAAAAAAAAAGAGTTTTTAGCTGTATGGGCTTTCTTTTTTCTTGTTTTTCTGGGCTTTTTCTGGCTTACTGTAAATATTTTTAAAATAGATTATGTTTATTTCTGATAATAAATCTTTTGGAGATGGCAACCTGGTTATTAGAATCCTGGGAAATGGTGATAGTCATGATTTAAAGCAAATTATAAAATCTAACTCCTTGTCTTAGCCAGCCTTTGGAAATCTCTCCTTACTAGTTCCCTGTATCTCTGCAGTAGGAGTAGTGAGTGTCTCTCCTTCAGGGATGTCTGAAAATCCCCATTCCTCATCTCAGTGGTGTCCATCTCTCTGATGTGTGCAGCCACTGTCACTTCTAGTTGTGTTATCTGTACTAGAAGAACATGCACATACTTTCCAGAGTGTTCATGCTGTATCAACCCCTAGGCCCCCAGAATTCTTTAGAACTACACTGCAGATCCTAACAGTAGCTTGAAGGTAGAAGGTAGAGGAAAGATGTAATACATTGCATAGTTAAGTACAAAGCTTTGGCCATGCACAATGGCTTTTGTCCTCCTAGAATCCCTTGGTATTAATATTATAGACAATGACAAAGAAAATAAGGAGAAACAAGGGAAGATTTTCAAAACTTAAATAGTGAGAGATTTGGGCAAAACGATAGTTTCCCAAAAGAAAGGAAATCAGATGTCCATGCCAAGACCTATACTCTGTGTCCATAGCAGCTTTATTGCTAATGGCCAACACAGGAAACAACTGTGTCATCCATCAATATGTGAGTGCATAAAACACTCCACCGTGAGACACTACCACCTCTCGTGTTGCCTGTGTGCTCATTTGGCACAGACCTGCTTCTACTGTGAAGAGGAAGCCAAGGAGACACCAGCCCTCAAGATGGCCAGTGAAAAGCCCAAGGAAGAACTTTATAAGACCAAGAACAGCAGTCATTTTAAATTGAAGGTGGTGAGGCCAGATGGTTCTGTGGTGCAGTTTAAGGGGAAGTCACACACCACCTGGTAAACTAATGAAAGTCTACTGTGAATGACAGGGTTTGTCAGTGAGGCAAACCAGATTCTGACTGGACAGGCAGCCATTCAATGAAATGGGCACACCGTCTCAGCTAGAATGGAGACACAGCTGCAGACAGGAAGAGGGCTACAGACTTTAAGAGGGGAGCTTGCTGCTGTTCTCTAGAACTGTTGTGATAGAACTCTGGTCCGTGTGCTTGTGCAGCAGGCGGCAAAACCACTGAGCTAAATCCCCAGCCCTAGAACTATATTCTTACAGACCAGGAATATGTTCTCAATTAGAAAACTGCAATTTGGACCGGGGATTTAGCTCAGTGGTTTTGCCGCCTGCTGCACAAGGGCAAGGACCCGAGTTCAATCCCCAGTACCAAAAAAAAAACTGCAATTTGGATCCAACTCATCCTGACTACTAGAGTACAATTTTCTCTATTCTTTAATTTCCCCTTCCCTGTTCCTTTTCAGTACATAGAATAACTGCTGTAGGTGCACAAGCATATTGCTTTTTTTAAACTAAATGGCCAGTGATATTTTAATTGACGTCAAATGGAGACAAGATAGTGCTGTAAAAACATTCTTTTTCTCTATTAGTAGCATTCTCATTCAACACTTAACCTCTGTATTTCCAGTAAGTTGTTTTGCTCTCACTGTCTTAACAAAAACAATATGAAAATCCTTACACAGCTTGTTCATTTGGAGAATTTTAGTGTTTTTCATTGATCATTGTGAAACAGAGGATAATTTTATGACTTTCTTCGTACATAGCTGTTACATGCAGAACAATCTTGTCTTTAAATAACAATAAATTACTTGAAGAAGCAGCAGCAGCATCCTAGGCAGATTTCCCTTCAATTGTCTTGTTTAAATAAATTTCTGGTTTAAAATGAAAAAAACAGAAAATACTGTGATAACAGCCCTAAAATAGAAAAGAAATTAATTTTAATACATATTTGAATCATATAACAACCTGATGGATCTCAAAACAGCTGTACTGAATTGCAAGGCCAGACAAAAGAGTACCTACTGTTTATTCTCTTCATGTAAAACTTTAGCAAACTCAACCTCACCAGGCATGATGGTGTAAGCCTGTGATCCCAACACTCAGGAGGCTGAAGCAGGAGGATCCCTGACAGGTCAAGGCCAGCCTGTCCAAATAGTGAATTCAGGGCCAGCCTGAACTACATAGTGAAACCCTGTCTCAAAAAACAAAAAGGAAAGAAAGAAAACTCAACCTCATCTGCAGTGACAGCAAAATCACTGATTGACTGGTGATAAGAGAGGAACGAGTAGATTACAAAAGCCCTGGGGAAACTTTTGGAGGCAGTAGGTATATATAGTATCTTAACTGTAATGATGGCTTAATGGCTACAAACCTGTGTCAGAATTCCTGGGGTTGTACATTTTAAACATGTGTTACTGATCATACAGCAGTAATACCTCAGTAAAGCCATTTTATACAAATCTTTTTTTTTTTTTGGTACCGGGGATCAAACTCGGGTCCTTGAGCTTACACAGCAGGCTGCGAAACCACTGAGCTAAATCCCC